AAATCATCTTTGCATGATGTGTCTCTGGAAAAGCTCAGAAGAGGCTTGTTCTATGACTTCCAGGAAACAGAACAAGAAAGCAGAGGAGAGTGCTTGAAGAGAGACTTTTCTGTAACCTTTCAATTTGGAACCTCATGCCATACATTCTTTCGAAACATTGTTAAGCAACTATCTTCACTATATAGAAAAAAGGTTGTTAAAACTTGGATTCCATTGGAGACCTGTGAAAACATTTTCTTGTATCATACCCTTTAGATCAGCAATTGATGAACTTTTTCTGTAAAGGGTCAGATGGTAAAAGTTTTAGGCTTTGTGGGTCTCTGTGGCAACTACTCTCCTTTCATACCACTAAAGCAGCCATAGACAAGAAGTAAAGGAATGGGTGTGGCTGTGTTCCAATAAAACTTTATTTACAAAAATAGGCAGGATTGAGCCTGTGGGGGGGGTGTGGGGGAGGCACTGTTTTAAATAGCGCCTCCTGGCTGGGCGCGGTGGCTCACGCCTGCAATCCTAGCACTCTGGGAGGCCGAGGTGGGCTGATTGCTCCAGGTCAGGAGTTCGAAACCAGCCTGAGCAAGAGCGAGACCCTGTCTCTACTATAAATAGAAAGAAATTAATTGGCCAACTAATATATATAGAAAAAATTAGCTGGGCATGGTGGCGCATGCCTGTAGTCCCAGCTACTCGGGGGGCTGAGGCAGCAGGATTGCTTGAGCCCAGGAGTTTGAGGTTGCTGTGAGCTAGGCTGACGCCACGGCACTCACTCTAGCCTGGGCAACAAAGTGAGACTCTGTCTCAAAAAAACAAACAAACAAACAAACAATAGTGCCTCCTTTGAACAATAAAGAATGTGTAATCACCATGCTCTTGCTTTTTCATTATTAAACAGGTTAAAAACAAACCTTCTTTCAACCCAAGTTAAGAGTTATGCTTAGGGGCCAGGAGCAGTGGCTCACGTCTGTTAACTCAACACTCTTGGAGGCCAAGGCAGGAGGATCACTTGAGGCCGGGAGTTCGAGACCAGCCTGAGCAAGAGCAAAACCCCATCTCTACAAAAAATAGAAAAGTTAGCCAGACATGGTGGTGTGCACCTGTAGTCCCAGCTTCTGCGGAGGCTGAGACCGGAGGATTGCTTGAGCCCAGAAGTTTGAGGTTGCTGTGAGCTAGGCTGACGCCACGGCACTCTAGCCCAGGCAACAGAGCGAGATTCTGTCTAAAAAGAAAACGAAAAAGTTATGTTTAAGAAGTTTGGAAAAAAGGAAAGCTAATGGGCAACAGAAGAAAAACATCTAGGCTGTGGGATAAAACCATGGAGTTTGGGATAGTCCCTCAGAAAAGCAAAGGTATTTCTAAAGCCATGAAAAAAATCTCATCCTCTCAGCAATCTTTTTGGTAGGACTCAATGGTGATAACAAAGAAGTCACATCCTGGGATGAAAATCACTCTTAGTCTTCGTATCTCTGAAGATATTAAAACAATATATACTGTGCCAATAAACTCAGAAATGGCTACTCCGGAAATGTAGATAATCTAAATGAACCAAATATTGATCTCTTGCTAGTAAATTCTCTACAGACGTGATCATGACAATAAGTAGTCTCATGATCCTGGTGACGCTGAGGTTTGTCTAGTACAGAGAACCCCACTGAGAGGATGATTCAGCCCGGAAAAGTTTAGCTTCCTGGAACACTGGCTCCATCCTCCAGATTCTAGGCTTTTATCATCTTCCACAGAATACTGCCAGGATATTAACTGAAAGCAAAGTCACCCTCAGAGAAAACAAATCAAAGCAATGCATCTATTCTCAAAGCAACTTCTTGCTGAAGAAGAAGATGAAAGTTTAAAACAACATTCAACCTTAACAATGAGCTCTATACCTTAGCAGCCTGGGTCTAAAAAAAAAAAAAAAAAAAAAAAAAAAAAAAACAATGAGCTCTAGCATGGAGCTGGATCAATTTGGCTTCTCGTTGGTTTTCTTCTGGGAGGAAGCAGGTAAGACTGACGAAGCCACAGGGATGGAAAGGGGGCTCCCCTCAGGAGACATGAAACTGAACGAGATCCGTGGAATTTGCCACCATCTTTTAGTGATATTCATGGACGTGACTCTTAAAGATCAAAACCTGCTTGGGATGGGGTTCAGGACATGCTACCCCAAAATATGGCACTTTGGCATATCAAATATTTGAAAATGACAAAAGTTGAGAAAACCACAGAAGCAGGAAGGTCTCTCTGACCTTCCCATGCCCTTTACCCCCTGAAATGGATCATAGAACCTGGGAAGAATGTTCTGAGCATCCCCTGAAGCTGGGTGGCCGTAACATGCTCACATGAGAGGAACCTTCTCGATACTTGGAGGAAGGGAGCATTCTTATCTCTGACGACACAGGAACACAGAGAAGAATCTGAACAAACAGGCCTTGCCAAGTTTCCCCCAATTCATTACCATTAAATTATATTCTTTTTGCCCTGTCACATTTCTCCACGATTCTCTGCTCTTCATTAAACCTACTATTAACAACGCTCAGCTTTAACTATTTCTTCGGGTCTTCATTTCCTTTATGAAGGCTCCCGTCTCATGTAAAACACATATTGAATAAGTGTGTATGTTTTTCTCTTCTTAATCTGTCTTTTGTTAAAGGGACCTCAGCCATAAACCTAAGATAGGTAGAGAAAAAAAATGCTTTTCCTCCCCTACGTGTTTCTGTGCAGCTCATCTGATTTGGTGCACCTTTGGGTTCCAGAACCTCAGGCACTGACCTTAACAGAGTAGATGTGCAGGTAAATGGTACTTTTGCTTTTAACAAAATAGAAAGCGTAAGAAAGACATACAGCAGCAACAGTGACAATTAAGAATAGAAGGGACTTCTTCTTTCTTGTCTTCTCCAGAAGCTCTCTAGCTCCATTCTTTTTTTTTTTTTTTTTTTTTGTTGCCCAGGCTAGAGTGAGTGCCATGGCGTCAGCCTAGCTCACAGCAACCTCAAACTCCTGGCTCAAGCAATCCTCCTGCCTCAGCCTCCCAAGTAGCTGGGACTACAGGCATTCGCCACCATGCCCGGCTAATTTTTTGTATATATATTAGTTGGCCAATTAATTTCTTTCTATTTATAGTAGAGACGGGGTCTCACTCTTGCTCAGGCTGGTTTCGAACTCCTGACCTCAAGCAATCCGCCCGCCTCGGCCTCCCAGAGAGCTAGGATTACAGGCGTGAGCCACTGCACCCGGCTCTAGCTCCATTCTTAACTGTCACCTAATTGTCACCCTACACTTTTATTAGTTTGTAGGCTGATACCAAGCAGATGATGACACCGTTGGAACAGCGCCACCACCCACCCAGCTGCCTGGAAAGCACAGTCCCACTGGTCTTCCAGCTCTTTGCCTTCTGTGAACACAGGCCCACATCTGGGCAAGCCACTTACCCGCTTTGCTCAGGAGGCCTTCCTTGGCTCCCCAGTTTGTCATAGGACCCTACTTTACCCTCTCTCACAAGTCCCTTTGTCCTTGTTCTTTGACACTCACATAGCCCTCTGAACGTATCACAATTCTAACTAAATGCATGTTTCCCTGTAGATTTGTTTCAAGCCTGCCTTCCCATGAGACAGTCAGGTGCAGGAAGGTAAGATGCTCCCCACTGCACCCCAGCCCCTGACACCATGCCTGGCTCAAGAAACACTTGTTGAATGAGTGACTTATAGTCACTTTCCATGTGTTCCTGTCCCACGGTCGTTCCAGTGCCTGTACTCTACACAGCCATGCTAGCAGCTGTTCTGGGCTTCTGCACATTCCAAGTTCAAGGGGAGCCTCCAAAAGAGAAAACAATCTCCTGTGGCAACAACCCAGAGGCTGGTTTGTTTCTTAAGTGCCCTTCTTCCTGGTCTGGTTTACATGCACCATTAGCAGCAGCCAAAGCACTCCATTATAAGTGACTTTAGAAATCGCAATCATTAAAATTGAAAACTTCCATTTAAGCCAGACTACCCCTTTGTGATGTTAAAGTGGCCCCTCTGTGCTTCCAACCCTCTCTCTGTGAGGCCTATTCCAGCTTTTAACCTACCTTGTGGGCTTTTGATTTGGAGCCTCTTGTGCTGTCAAGCTGTAATTTTCACAAGTGGAGCCCTAAAGCGCTTTAATATTTTTGTTTGCCAGAATTATTCATTTCATTTCTGTATGTTTGGTAGATGAATTTTCTGCAGCGTCTTAAAAAATAATGCTGTAACTAGTTCCTTACAGCATTTAAAAAATAAAAAGGCCAAAAACAACCATGAAAAAATTAACTGAATAGATAAAATATTTAAATTAGTATCAGAAAGCTTAAATGTAAGCAACACCTAAGTCATCTCAAGCACATTCAACAAGAAAAATTAGAAAGCAAACTAGATAAGAACGTTGGATAATGGGGTGCAGAGGTGGATCCTGTTTTTATTTTAAAATTTGAAATTTTGTTCATTAATTTTTTTATTATGTTTTATTTCTTTTTTAAATTGCATCAAAATATTACTGATCCTTCCACAGAAGTTAAACAGAATTACCACAGGACACAGTAATTCCACTTCCAGATATATACCCCAAAAGAATTGAAAAGAGGTACCCCAAAAATATTTGCACATGGATGTTGTCAACAGAAAAGAAGCCAAACTCTACAATTTAAAGAGGTTTATTCTGAGCCGAATTTGAGAACCATGGCCCAAAGCCACGTCTAAGAGTCCTTGAGCAAGTGGACTTGCTGTGGTTGGGTTATAGTTTCATTTTATACATTTCAGAGAGACAGGAATTACATGTAAAGTTATAAATCAATACACGGAAGGTGTACATTCATTTGGCCCAAAAAGGTGGGACATCTCACAGGTTATAGGTGGGTTTAAAGACTCTTTGATTTATAATTCATTAAAGAAATGAAGCTTTGTCTAAAGGCTTAGAATGTTTTAAGATAAGGAAGTCTCAGCCTGAGCAAGAGCGAGATCCCATTTCTACTATAAATAGAAAGAAATTAGTCAAACAACTAAAAATAGAAAAAAAAGCCTTCCGCTCGGCTGTTCTCCTGCGCAGGGCCGTAGGCAGCCATGGCGCCCAGCCGGAATGGCATGATACTGAAGCCGCACTTCCACAAGGGTTGGCAGCGGCGCGTGGCCACGTGGTTCAACCAGCCGGCCCGGAAGATCCGCAGACGCAAGGCCCGGCAAGCGAAAGCGCGCCGCATCGCCCCGCGCCCCGCGTCGGGACCCATCCGGCCCATCGTGCGGTGTCCCACGGTGCGGTATCACACCAAAGTGCGAGCTGGCAGGGGCTTCAGCCTGGAGGAGTTAAGGGTGGCCGGCATACACAAGAAGGTGGCCCGGACCATTGGAATTTCTGTGGATCCAAGGAGACGGAACAAGTCCACCGAGTCCCTGCAGGCCAACGTGCAGCGGCTGAGGGAGTACCGCTCCAAGCTCATCCTCTTCCCCAGGAAGCCCTCAGCCCCCAAGAAGGGAGACAGTTCTGGTGAAGAACTCAAACTGGCCACCCAGCTGACTGGCCCCGTCATGCCCATACGGAATGTCTACAAGAAGGAGAAGGCCAGAGTCATCACAGAGGAGGAGAAGAACTTCAAGGCGTTTGCCAGTCTGCGCATGGCCCGCGCCAACGCCCGGCTCTTCGGCATACGGGCAAAGAGAGCCAAGGAGGCCGCAGAACAGGATGTTGAAAAGAAAAAATGAAGCCTTTTTGGGACTTTTCAATAAATCAGGAGAGAAGCTGGGTCTCCATGTCATGTGTGTCCAGCGGGGCCTGGGGGCCTTGACTTCTGGGCAGGGCAGGGGTATGAGGGGCTGTTCTTGAATGGCAGCTCAAAGCCTGCACTGTTTAGCACTATTATCGTGGATTTAATAATGGCTTTCTTGTGGGGAGGATACAAAGGCTGGCTTCATGGAGTTGTTTTTTTTAACCAGAATAAGGTGAACAACTTTTTTGGCAGGACTTAGAGGGGCCCCCTTGACATACCCAGTGACCACTGTAGGTAGCTTCCCTTTGGCTCACACCCAGCCTGTTGCAGCCGGCTGTGCTGTGGAAGGCCAGCCACGGGCTGTCCTGGGGCATACTGAAGCCATTGGTCCTGCTTCGTGGATGAGAGGGCATGTCAGTTGTCACTGCCCACACAAAAAAGAGAGATTCGGAGGCTGGGAAGTCAAGATCAAAGGTACAACAGATCTAGCGGCAATGAGGGCCCTCTTTATGGTTTTTCAATGCTCCCTGTGTCCTCACCATGGCATAGAGGGAATCATCTCTCTTGTCTCTTCTTTTTTTAGAGTAATTAGAGTGGCTCAACTATACCTAAATGATAAGTCGAACCACTCCACGAATTATCTAAAGGACAAGCCATGATGCCACCATCATGACCTAGATTACTTTTCAAAGACCCCCTCACTCAAATGCCACCCAACATTGAGATCAGGATTCACACACGAAATTGGTGGAGGGGGGCATAACATTCAGCTATCAAAGCAGACACAAGCTTCCTGCCCTTCTGTGGGACCAGCCAAAAGGTCTATCGTACAGAGAGAACATTCTTCTTGAATCAATAGACCCAAACTATATACGAAATGTAAACAAACTTCCAATAAACAGTTAAATATCACTTCTAAATTAAGGAAGACATCATTTACATAGACACTTGAAAGCTTTTCTGCTGCACAATTATGATTTGCTTGTAACTGATAAATTAAAACAACTTTGATTAGGTCATTAATATTAGGACTTCCCACTTGCCTTCAGGCTTCCTAGGTTGCCATTATTTCGTTTTAGATTAGAACAATTATATTAATACTAATATACAATTTTTCATTATCAAGCCAGAAATAGCTCAGGAATTCCAGGAGAGTCATGGACAGGGCGTTTCTAGTGCACTTACAAATTTAATAAGATTCCACAGCTGCATGCATGACTGTATTTCCAACTGTTCATTCAACAGCTAAAGTACAATATTGTTATTAGAGCAATCCTTTCATAAAACATGTCACAATTCCACAAATCTATCCATCTATTCCTGGGTTGGAGCAAATCACTCTTGTGCCTGTTCATGTGCACGAGAGAAGCTACCAACTTTTCTCAGTAACGTAGAAAGCTTGACACCCCACGGTGATCCTTGCCCAGCAGGCTGCCATGTCAAGTATTCAACCCTTCTAATCGAAGCACTCTTGAATGACTCAGATGTCACTGAGTTGCAAATCCTCTCCTAAGCTGCTGCTAACCATAAGACAGAATTCTTGAACACAGGGCTCTAAGGCACCTTTGTATGCCCACTGTCTAACATCTTACTGCAAAAAGCTGACCTCAAAACAAATGTTTGTCGATGAGGAATTTTCCCATTTACTTAACATTCCATATCAAATGTTCTATTTTCTTAATCCTAATGATTGCTGATCAAACAGCAGCTTACATCTGAAGCTTGCCAAGAAGTCTGGACTACTTTTCTAAACTATCACCAAAATCAGGAGCAAAATGTGAGTAAAACACTGCAATAGTAGATTTTGCCAATCATGCCTTATTGTCCTTTGAAGCAGAAAGCACTTATCACCTTGCGAATGCTCTTAAGGGGATTCTGAAAGAACCTGTCAAGTAAGCTAGGGTACCTGGGAGCCACTTGAAGAAACAAGCAAGATGACAGATTACCAAACCAACAGCAGACCCATACATGGCCCATAAATTACTGGTTTCACCCAACAACACAAAAATGTGTGTAACCAAAGGTGAGATGCCTTTAAGGTTTCAACTAATATAGCCTTGGGCTTTGTGAATTGTCCCAGGGATTCTGCCAAGAGCAAGTGCTAGATCTGTTGTGACAGAGACGTCTCCTCTTTGACTTAACTATGGTCAGGCTCCTGAGCTCTCTGCTTCCTAGGCCTGACTTGAGCTTTCGTCCTCAGCCTTATAGAATCCAGTTGAGCAAGAATCCCTGCTGAGTCAGTTTAGCAAAATCCACCACCCTGGCTGATCTTATCACCCTGGGCTGCTTCAGCCAAGAATACTGTTGAAGTTGGTCTAGTATTTTCCATCTGCTGACCCCCCAACGCGCTCCTTGGTTACAAATATCTTGCTTCTTGTTGGTCGTCAGAGCCAGCCAATCTCTCCCTACCCACACTTGCACGACCCGCTAGCTGTGGCCCCGTACCTATAGGATAGCCTCTCTTGAAAAATTCTGCCTTTAACCACATTCTTTTTTTTTTAAAGCAAGCGTTGGTCCTTACATTCTAATGCAAATAATAATTTTTTTTTTAACACTACAATTCCCTTTATACAGAGTCAAAATCTTCGCTTTCAATCTGTTGTAACTGTGCCAACATGTGGCTATTGAGCACTTGAAATGTGGCGAGTCTGAATTTAGATGTGATAGACACCATCACACCAAATATTCAAAGACTTGGTATCGAGAAAAGATGTAAGTATCCTGTTAGTAATTCTTATTATTGATTACATGTGAAATGTATATTTGACATATCCGTATAAAATTACCCAAGTACTAAAGTCATTTCACTTGTTCTTTTTACTTTTTAATATGGCTACTGGAAAACTTTCAAGTAACACATGTGCTCACATTATATTTTTTTGACCAGCGCAAGTCTAGAGAGCAGCTGGGGTAGGAGAAGGAGGAGAAGGGGATCTTGGAGTTCTTCTAAAACCTGGGATGGGATTGGGTTCCCTTCAGCATGAAGTGTCCCTGCGCTGTTAATGAGAACATAGACATCCTTACACAGCGACGCACCAGCTTTTAGAATGTTCCGAATTAGGCAGCATTATTTGAGGAGTTTGGCGTGGCAACACGCCTCCTCAGCGGAGCATGCTTTGGGAAGTGTCTGGGTGGCAGCCAATGATTGTCTGCACAGCAATCTGTAATACAAAGATGCTCTACTCAACTCCTACTCAGCCCTGGGGATTTGGTTCAGAGCACTGTATAAAGCCGTCCCAGCCAGACCACGTCTTAAAGTCTTCGGTATTCTCTGCAGCTCCATTCCTGTTGAGCCCATTAGCGTGGGCACAATACCTGTGCCAGTCTGAAACTAAATTACTGGCTCTCCTTCTGTACATTTTTTTCTCAGTATCTCTCATAAATATTTTTTTCACTAATAGAGAAATGAGAATCTCAACCGAAATAAGAATGCCGCATAACAATATAGCAAAAAAAAAAAAAAATCATCTTTGCATGATGTGTCTCCTGAAAAAGCTCAGAAGAGGCTTGTTCTATGACTTCCAGGAAACAGAACAGAAAAGCAGAGGAGAGTGCTTTGAAGAGAGACTTTTCTGTAACCTTTCAATTTGGAACTCATGATCTACTCTTTCGAAACATTGTTTAAGCAACTAATTCTCACTATATAGAAAAAAGGTTGTTAAAACATTGGATTCCATTGGAGACCCTGTGAAAACATTTTCTTGTATCATGACCTTTAGATCAAGCATTGATGAATTTTTCTGTAAGGTCAGATGGTACAAAGTTTAGGCTTTTGTGGGTCTCTGTTTGCCAACTACTCCTCCTTTCATACCACTTAAAGCAGCCATTAGACAAGAAGTAAAGGAAATGGTGTGGCTGTGTTCCAATAAAACTTTATTACAAAATAGGCAGGATTAGCCTGTGGGGGGGGTGTGGCGGGGAGGCACGTTTAAATAGCCCTCCTGGCTGGCCCAGTGGCCCACTCCTGCAATCCTCAACTGCTGGAGGCCGAGAGTGGGCCGGATTGCTCAGGTAGGAGTTCGAAACCAGCCTGAGCAAAGAGCGAGACCTCTTCTCTACTATAAATAGAAAGACAATTAAATGGCCACTAATTATTATATAGAAAATTAGCTGGGCATGGTGGCCATGCCTGTAGTCCCCAGCTACTCCGGGGCTGAGGCAGCAGGATTGCTTGAGCCAGGAGTTTGAGGTTCTGTGAAGCTAGGCTGACGCCACGGCAACTCAATTTCCATCTAGCCTGGGCAACAAAGTGAGACTCTGTCTCAAAAAAAACAAAAAAACAATAGTGCCTCCTTTGAACAATAAAGAATGTGTAATCACCATGCTCTTCTTTTCATTATAAACAGGTTTAAAAACAAACCCTTCTTTCAACCCAAGTTAAGAGTTATGCTTAGGGCACGGAGCAGATGGGCTCACGTCTGTTAATCTCAACATCTCTTTGGAGGCCAAAGGCACGGAGATACTTGAGGCCCGGGAGTTCGAGACCACAGCCTGAGCAAGGAGCAACCCCATCTCTTACAAAAAATAGAAAAGTTTAGCCAGACATGTGGTGTGCACCTGTAGTCCCCAGGCTTCTGCGGAGGCTGAGACCGGAGGATTGCTTGAGTCCAGGAGTTTGAGGTTGTTGTGGCTAGGCTGACGCCAGGCAACTCACCCCAGGCAACAGAGCGAGACTCTGTCAAAAAGCAAACAAGTTATGTTTAAGAAGTTGGAAAAGGAAAGCTAATGGCAACAGAGAAAAACATTCTAGGTGTGGATAAAACCATGGAGTTTGGGATAGTCCCTCAGAAAGCAAAGGTATTTCTTAAAGCCCATGGGAAAAAATCTCATCTTCAGCAATCTTTTTTGGTAGGACTCAATGGTGGATAACAAGAGAGTCACAATCTGGGATGAAATCACTCTTGTCTTCGTATCTCTGAAGATAATTAAAAAAACCAATATATAACTGTGCCAATAACTCAAAATGCTACTCCGGAAATTAATAATCTAAAATGAACCAAATATTGTCTCTTTGCTAGTAAATTCTCTACA